CAAATACCTGGAATGGCTCTCAAAGGACGTCCCAAAAAGTTTGTGAAGACGCACCATGAGCCATCGACCCAAAATAACTCATATAGAAAGTTGTCTAACTTGATACCAGAGTTGCAGACCGCCGTTTGGATGTCTGCTGGAAGTCTAAAATGACGGAAATTAACAGAAAACATCAGTATTACAACAACCATCTAGGCAGTACATACGATTGATTGGTTCCAGGTGCACAAAATGGACCGGTCGGCGCACGGTACATAGCATAGGCACCCGTTCCTAAGGCAATACACGGTTCGGACATGATAATTAAATGTCCAGGGGACTCCAGGGATATGCACTTGCCTGCATCAATTCCGATGGAAGGACCACCTGGAGCATCCCACTGGCAGCTAAAAGCAATTCATTAAACACTATTTGATCACGAAAATAGCGTGTAACGACATACTTCATGCACAGCATACTCAGCGCCCATGAGATGGAGTTACAACAGCACTCCTCTGTGAATAATTCAATGGTAAACAAAGCGCGCAGCGACTAACACCATACGCAGTTGGTCGTCACATTGATCACCAGGGGTATTGGGGCGGAAGGAAGGGACCTGATCTGAGCAGGAGAATAGGTACTAGTTTCATGAATGATTGAGATAGCGCCACCAACTCACACTGGGGGTTGCAAATCTGCCTCAGACGCTGGTATGTCTCGCCTTGAAACGAAGAGAATCAGCTCGCGGTGGCCTCCGTCATGATAATTGTCCAGCTTACACGCCGTCTCCCCAACTGCATTGGTATACCTGTGTGATGCTTGTCAGAAACTCCACAACGACCACAGAGCAAATCGCCAGTCACCAATCTGTCAGATTTCCGGCACACGTAGTATTTCCAGCAGCGATGCCGCGTATACATGACAACCCCACGAACGCAAGTGCAAGAACTCTACCACTCCGCTGAGGGAACAACTTTTGTACCGTCATCGTGAGCGAACGGGCCTACCCAAGACGTTGGTTAAGAAGATAGAACCACGTTCAAGTATCCCCGAGGTATGCCATTCTACTTGAAAGCTCCACAACTGGCACAGCAACCGTGACCAAGTTGGTAAGGGAAGTAGTCATAAGCAAACTCGGGTACAATCTTGCTCGAGGTGGAGTTGAACACTATTGGCTCTCAGTAACTTGAACAGCCATTACGCATCAGTCAACTTGGTGGAACAGTAAGCGACAGTGCTTGCTGTCTTTATGTTAGCAGAAAGATCCCCTGGCCAGTGTATGGGCGGTAGGCATCCCGAGACAGTGACCGCAAGCTGACTGAGAGGCTTGAGATGTCGAATCCACGAACGATGGGGTGCGGCCGGGCTTCTCAAGAATCCGAGTCAGTTCCACAGGTATCACAGTGGGTTACTTACATTGAGGGCCGTTCTCGAGGCATGCCACTGGCACTGATCATGAGGCCCAGTTAGACCAGTCAAGCTCATTCAGCCAACCATGTAGGTAACGACTATCTTACTTCGACTCTTTGGTCTGCCTAGGGGAGACTACCAAGCATGAACGAAAGGTCGATTAGCGGGGTGCGAGATCTCAGATGAGTCAGTGCTTGTCAGTTTGAGCGTTTGCCAGTGATCGATCGAATTGTCACCAGGTTGAAGTTATGTAAAACGACGGTTGTCAACTTGTCAAGTTCGATCATTGAATCAACCTTCAATGTGCGGCTATATGTAACTCATCCCTCCCCAGTCTTCTGCCTTGCTCGCGTCTGCGATGATGTTCCTTGTAGCTGCCCACTTTGAAGTTTGCAGGTGCCGGTTGAGCTCATGACATGCGGCAGTGCATTTTCCCAGCCAGGATTTTTGCGCAGCGTTCGCCTTTCGAACTTGAGGGAACTTCATAGCGTTTATTCACCACCATCCGACATCATAAGTGATGCGACTCGAAAAGTATGAAGGACTATCGGACCCGTAGTGCTTTCCCTCCAAGCACCGTTTTGGAGCTTTTGCAGCATCTTCTTTTCCTATGGCCACTTCTAACTTGAATGTTCTAGTTGGCCCCATCGAAGTGGGAGGTTTTATCACATGTATGTTCTTTGGGTGCGCGGTTGTCCAGGCACATGTCTATTATGAAAACCATCAGGAGGACCATTGGGCTGTGAAGGCGTTGGTGAGCACAAGATTCCCATCGCGATAAGGAGGCGCCAATTCTGATACGAACCGTGAAGGTCATTTCTGGACTGTGTGTCGGGAATCAAGTAGGCGCAATCCTCCAGAGTCACACTGACCGCTAGACAGCATATTGCAGTTGGGACAGATCTTGTCCGTCTGCGCTGCAGTATACCTGATGACTGTTACGGACTATGGGCTGGCTCCAACCCTCGTCGGAGTACCCCACGCACTCGATGTATCCCTTATTTTCAGCTCGTTAATTGGTTTCGGTGTCCAGGTATCTCACCAAGGCTTTGAATTCATGCGATGTTCCCCTGACCAAACCCACAGAATTTCTACAACAATCCCCTCTACAAATTCTCGCACGGAATCCACGTGCCTATTTTCTGTCTCTGTCTCTCAACCACACGTGCCGTGCTGTTGATAGTATTGGCTTCAAATGGCATCTCTGCAACAAACCGAAGTGCATACGAGGAGCGATGGGGACCCTCCATTGCGTCGACTGTCATCCTGTCAGGGATTTGTGACCTAACAATCGCAGCTGCCTTGAGTTACAGCATAAAGAAGCAAGCCAGAGGTGCCATCAAAAAGTGAGTTTGGCGTGGAAGCTTTCTTGTCTACTCTCCACCTCAGTCCTGCTTGTACAAAGAACCACGCGCGTCGTGAACAAAATTGTTATGTGGAGTATAGGTTCGTTCCTCGTCTGGGATTCACCGATGTGCGGGTATTTGTTAATATTATTCCCTAGAAACGGGCTTGGTCACCGCGTACGCCACTCCTCGTTCTAGCTCTTCGATAGACTGATCCCCTCAGTTTAACCGGCGTCATCGAAATCGCTCTTGTAAGTCCTCGGAAGGATTGACTTTTTCAACGCTGACGAACTGGATGTTCGTTTACTAGTTCCTAACGATGTCAGACAATTGTCGGACGCCATTTTCGCTATATTCGATTCTTACTCACTAGTCAATCCAACAGACATGTGGTTGGGCCTTCTGTCCTTCTCATCCGGACGTAAGTGCTAAAACTAAGTCATTGTCTCCGTCAGGCTTATTGTCAGCCCACAGTTTACGTCAATTCTCTTCTTGCGGCGTACGATCCCTGCCGCCTTTGATTTGGCCACTGAGTTGACATGACCAAATACCCAGTCTCAACCGCCGGGCTAAGCTTCGACAGCAACTTGGGGAAGTTCACGAATTCACGTCGATGGGCTTCGTGAGAAGAGTACGCGAATGTGCTTTACCCGAAGTCTGATCGCTGATATGTGACACCCCAGCCGGAGATGGTTTTAAACCTCCCCATAACAGCCGATATTGCCTGCGACACCATTCCCGTCATACCAGTCCACAAGGCCCACAGGCCAGTTGACACTACTTTGGGTCCCATGGAGTTTGCCTAGATCAACCGGACTGAAAGCGGAAAGGCGGGTTTGCTTTTCAGTGGATATGATAGGAGAGAAATTTTTTCGTACCGACACAAACGGCTGAGGCCTTTGTATGCCATACACTGTGGTGGGCTGCGAGCTCAGTAGCATTTCCCGATCGCGCGATGCAAATATTGATCATCTGTTTAAACACCATGTAATGAACTCGCTAACAAATTCTATTCCACATCGTTTAACCCGTTAGCTGTTGCATGGAAGGCTGGCGTCGGCTGGTACTCACCCTCGCAAACGTCTTGCAGACAACAACCTGCTATGATCAACTGCTACTTCAGGCCCCTGTGTAATTGTAGCCAGGCGGAAGCCGTAAGATTACGGCTGTAACCGGAAGCATGTGATTGGTTGAAGCGTGTCTTTCATCCCGCACTCAAGCGACGCATTATCCACGCCCATCCGCCCGCCGCATACCTCTGTTGGCTTTCACCACTCCCTTGTTTCATCGACACAGTCAGCAGCTATGTCTGCATCTATTCTGCTGCGCTCAACACTGCCCAGAACTTTTGCTTCCGCCACCGGTCGCAATGTTTTGCGATCCGCTCTCCAAGGTATATTCTTCCCCTCACTCTCACATTACCAGTACTTAAGTGTTTTGTAGTGAGACATGCCTCGAGCTCGACTACTCAATATGTTCCTGGTGGACGTACGTACTTCACTGCCCATTACATCGTCTTTTGAGTCTCACGTGCTTTGAACTTCCAGCAATCTACAAGGGAACAGTTAACGACCCTACGACGTTCCCGCCACCTTCAAAAGCTCATGGCTCCTACCACTGGGCATTCGAGCGCCTACTGTCTGCAGCTCTCGTTCCTATGACCGCTGCAGCATTCGCAACGTCCGGGTCCGCTTACCCCGTCCTGGATGGTCTCCTCGGCATAACGCTGGTGATGCACAGTCATATCGGGGTAAGAGCCGACGCGGAACCATGAAGTCAGTTTTACTGAAGCACGTGCTAGTTTGACTCTATGGTTGTCGACTATCTCCACCCACGCAAATTTCCCATCATTGGGCCCATGATGACATGGACCCTTAGAACTGCTACTGTCGGCGTTCTGGTCGGCATTTACCAGTTTAACACCAATGACATTGGTGCGTCTTGACTTTGGATCCTTTATTATCGAGAGGATGCGCTGACAGGCTATCTCTTTAGGTCTGACGGAGCTAATTGCGAAGGTGTGGACTGCATAGGTTGGAGGCGTTTTGGTCTGGATGATGAGTGGGGGAAATTTATTATTCAGATTCACTTGTCGTAGCAGAATGCTAGAATATGAACCTGTGCCTTAAGAACTTCTTCCGTTCTGTGAACGCTGCCCCTCCAAAGAGCTCAAGAGTCCCGCCTGAAAGATCGTAGGTGATGTGAAAACCGCATAGTTTAATCTCCACCGCATGCGTCTATGTTAAGGATAAGTGTAACTTGTGAGCCCGCTTAGCTCAGTGGTAGAGCGCGTCACTTGTATCGGATTGTGAGATCTGAGGAATGATGAGGTCGGTTGTTCAATCCAGCCAGTGGGCATCATTTTTACATCTTTCTTTTGGCTCCTACTGCTATCATTTTACGATGTTGTTCTTGCATGCTCTTCAGGGGACTCCTGAGCATTGCTTGGAACTCTTGCGGACTGGCCGAGATACAGTTGGAACAACCGTTGTTCCACCTTGTTCTTCGCGCTGCTGCGGTTCCAGTACTTCACTATGCATAACTTACTATTACTAAGTAACTAACCGACTCTGGGTCAGCTCCTCCACAGCTTCTGTTAACTTTTCAGTTACCTCCTCGGCGTTAACAGTCACCGCTCTCATCAAGAATCATGCTCTTGTTCCACTTCCTCTCTTATTTTCGGCGCTGCCAGCGAAGTGTCTTTCATCAGCCCTTGATGCTGTGAATGACATCGTATTTTCATGTCGACCCGGGAAATGTCTCAAAACAAAGGTCATCGATACTCATGATGATACGTGGCAAACCCACCGACAATCGCACTTTGCTCGAAAGTCGGTCCATTTTCTACAGGTTCGGATTTTTTCAAAACGAGTGAGTGTCACCCTTGCGTGCCACATACATGCTGCTTCACTTGTGACGTCGGGTGGTTGGCTAGAGCCCAGAGATCACAGCGTGATGAAAGGTTTTCCCGAGGTTTCAGCAGAGAGCCTGCTTGGTCGTGATCGCTCGTACTTAGCGATGAATCCTCGACTTTTTTTACAATTTACTTGAGGCACAATGCACCCGCCATGATCCCCATCTCCCAACGGTGGTTGCGCATCACCACCTAGCACCAAATTTGAAATGGCCCGTTGCTACAACCAACGTGCATCAGGTTCGATAGCTTGTGGCTCTCAGTAGATTGACGCCTGAGGATGAACGCTGTCCCCTAGCATCCCGGACTAGAAATCCCCGAAGCACTTTGCAGGTGCGCTGTGGTTACTCATTATCACCCCGCACAGCTCGCTCTTACGGAGTGATCGCTCCGGGAGTTCGTATTCTAGGCAAGTGAAACTAACTCTAATTTTGATCGCCCGGAAGGATGAAGGATACATGAAGAAGATTGTGACCGACAGAAGACAATTATAGCTTAGACCCCCACGCGACAGTCTGCCCAGATAACCTCCTTCTGGTCTCGTCGCTCGTGTCCTGCGTCTATTCGAAGCGGGTTTTCACAGACAACGCAGCGCATGTTCTCACTGATCTTTGCAGGTCCCGCGTGATCTAATCGCGCAGGTGACCCTTCAACTCCGTCCGCCGGGTTTGTTTCTTGTCCTCTTTGAGACCGTTGCTGATGTGAGTGGAGCTCTGAGTTGACTAACATTCTATTCGCTAGCGTTCTCTGGCGACAATCAATGTCTCTTGTGACTACCCAGAACACACTTTAGGGTACCTTTGCCACGTCAGAGCACGACGCAACCCCTTTCGATGCGCGTTGTCGATGGTCAGTGCTGATGATCTCTCACCAGTAGCCTCCGGAAAATCTATGTTGTTGTGCATTCCCAAGTGCCGATTGCTGGCGCTCGGTACCAGATGACACGTCCCGAGGTCTTTTGCCCAATTCCGCATGATACACTCGACGTGGAATCTTCTCATCACTACCAAATTGGTTCCCCTGAGTATTCGGAGGATCACTGGGGGGAGCATAAATACTGGGCGCGGACATAAGCTAGAGGTAGGTTCACCATCTTCTCTGGTTCACCATTCCTTGATCGCAATGAAGTTCTCTGCAACCAGTGGCAGCCTTGCTCTCGCCTCCCTCGCCGGGTCTGCGTTTGCTGGTGCAACGTACACTCTTAGCGAGAGCGTCGTCGGGAATGACTTCTATACCTCCTTTAACTTCGAGGCTATTGCGGATCCTACGGACGGTCGGGTGTATGTACTACCACTCTTTGTCGGTCGCTCAGCTATGAACACCATTGATACAGGAACTATGTCGATCAGGCGACTGCTCAGAGTCTTAATCTGACGTACGCCACGAGCGACACCTTCATCATGCGCGCGGATGATACCACTGTCCTCACGGCGAGCGGCCCGGGACGGAACTCTGTCAGAATCAGGTCCAATAACCAGTATACCACTCATGTTGCTGTGTACGTATCGCCGCGGGATTAGTGAACAGCGTGGTGACCGAAGTCTCCTTTCAGGTTCGATATGCAACACATGCCTCAAGGATGCGGGTGAGTTTAATACTACTGAGGGGGTAGCCTTTTACTGAAGTTCTGCCTTGATGCTCCAAGAACGTGGCCTGTGAGTTCCGCGCCTGTTCCAGATATATCCAAGAAGAGTGGAGCTGACCTTCCATTATCAAGGCTGTCTGGGAAACTGACGAGTCCAACTGGCCCGATGGTGTGCGTATTGCTTCCATCGTGATACAAACTGCGCACTGACGATAGGATCTAGGGTGAGGTTGATATCGTCGAGGGTGTGAACGACGTTACACCAAACCAGTCGACGCTCCACACCAGCCCTGGTAAGTAGATCTACCGCTTGAACCTAGTCTGTGATTCTTACCGTTGACCTAGACTGCTCGATTCCTGCTTCGGGAGTCACTCAGCTCGGGTAAGAGCAGTGATGTCTGTTTGCATGCGCATTTATGAATACGCTTGTGTAGAACAACCGTTGGCACGGACTGTGACTCGAGCGGTATGTTACTCCACTTACTATGTCGGACTTCAGCTCATGTGTACTAGCAAACGGAAACGCTGGTTGCGGTATCCAACTGACCGAGGATGACAATAGCTTTGGCCCAGGCTTCAATAACATCGGTGGTGGCTGGTAAATGATCTTGGTTTGGCGCATTGCTATCCTTAGCTGAACTCGAACTTCCTAGGTACGCAATGGAGCGCACCACCGACTACATCAGCGTGTGGTTCTGGGAGCGTGGTGATGCATCTGCTCCCAGCGACGCTACAAGCGGCGCCTCGACCATCGACACCAGCAACTGGGTAAGCAGGCTTCCGCTGTCATATTACGGACTCCTTTGAACTGGCTGCGAGTAGGGCACCCCCGCTGCGTACTTCCCCAACACCGACTGTGACTTGGCCACTCACTTCGATGCCAACAACATCATCATTAACCTGACGTTCTGTGAGTCTTCATTCAAGGCGATGGACTTCCGGGAGAACTTATCAGCGCCCAGGCGGTGACTGGGCCGGCAACTCTGCTGTCTACGCTGCGTCTGGCTGCCCTTCGACTTGCGTCGGTACGTACTCCGATACACAGTATGTTTAGCAAACACTGACGCTCCTCTTTATCAGACTACGTGAACGGTAAGTTGCAGATTACACCCTGTCTCACTGATGCTCATTCAATGGCTTTTAGAAAACCCCACTGCCTTCACTAACGCATACTTCGAATTCTCCTCCATCAACATCTACACATAAGTTATTCCACGACCCCTTGATCGCAGGGGTCACGAAGAAAGTCGTGTACAGTAAACGAGTCCAGCGTTTCTGCTGGTGCTCCAGCCCAACCAATGTATTCTTATGCCAACGTGATTTGAAATTACTAGACCCAAGTCACGTAGTGACAGATTTGCGGCCGAACGTCGTTCAAACTTCAAGCTTCAAGCTTCAAGTCCTGCAAAATTCTATCTACTTGACCACGATCATGCTGAATGCTAAGGATTTGTGTCGTTCTTGACGCTTCTCCGAACACGAGCAGAGGAAACCATTAATCCTACTTCGAGCTACGAAGTTCTGATCGGTGGCCTCTGGGGATTCATATACCCACATCATCATGAAGCATTGTAAGTTTAGCCGTGCACCTTTGGCTGCCCAACTCGGGGTCGAGAATGGACACAACCGTGACAGCGCGTCAGAATAATCACCTATCACGTGATGTGTATTTTTGGGCACGTGTGCAATGACGCGAAATGTAGCGTCTTCGGAACGCGTTCAAATTTGTGGTCATCCAACAAGAGCGCACACTGAGCAGACGCGTATACGCTCTTGTATCTTCTTGAATTCCTGGAACATGGGCTATCGAAGAAATAACACAACTTCCAAGACACCATCCTGTGGTAAGGCTGCTTTGACGGTCGCAGAGGTGCTACAAGAGCGAGCTAGCAAGCGTGCTGCGAAGGCCGAAGAACGAACGGCGAGATCGGAAAAACTGAAGGATGAGGTGAGTGTTGACCTACCTACACAACCAGTCCAACTAACAGGAACAGGGCAATGCACTGTTCCGGAAGGGAGATTACCTCGGCGCGGCTGAGTTTTACCAGAAAGCTGTCGCTATTCATAGCTCAGTAGCGAAGCCCGTTTTGTTGACGAATTTAGCAGCTGCATATCTGAAGCTTGGAATGTACGTTAGATTGACTCAAACTTGATCAACTATTCATTGGCTTTGTAGGGCTGCGGAAGCTTGTTTCACAACTACAGATGCTCTGTTAGCTGACCCGAGGTCCATCAAAGCAAGGTTTCGCAGAGGCGTGGCTCGCCAGGAGATGAACATGCTCGACGCCGCCGCTGCTGGTGAGTAGTTCCACAAGTGATACTGTGACATTTTATCCAAGTGTGCCTAGACTTTCGGACTGTCATATGCTTGGACCCCGGGAATCGGGAGGCAAAGTCACGACTTGACTTTGTGGAAGAGCTCTTCTACTCTGGTGACAGTATAGAAACCGGTTTGTCGGATGACGAATACCCGTAACCGGGCGACGAGCCTCAGGTCGAAGAATCAATGTCCGAATCCAGCGACTGTGAGCACGAGGGTAATGGTGTTCCATGCAAGTTCTACAACCACGACGGTTGTACAAAGGGCCCTACTTGTCGATTTTCGCATGCCCCGGACAGTAAGAGTGAGCGGGACGCGTTGTGAGTTTTGAGTTTCTCCTCACGAGAAAGGCTACGCGACCATGCTCATATCTCACCACGGACAGGGGCAGGAACGTGTGCTCCTTCTTTCTGATAGGGAATTGCAGGTTTGGCGATGAGAAATGTACCTATTCACACTCAAAAGAGCACCTCCCAACGAAGGGTTGGTGGACAACAGAGGAGGGCATTGCCAACGCGAAGCATACGTGGAAGCTTAAG